GTATTCTTCATATAAAGTCCATCCTAATTAATATTCTTTGTATAAAGTCCATCCTAATTAGTATTCTTTATATAAAGTCCATCCTAATTAGTATTCTTCATATAAAGTCCATCCTAATTAATATTCTTTATATAAAGTCCATCCTAATTAGTATTCTTCAAGTCGTAACCATTTCCCGTTTGTAATCTAAAATGACTGAAAATTGCAAACTTCGCAAGGCTATATTATCCGCATTTTACAACATTTTGCAACGAAACTTTGGCCACGTTTTTCAAGTTCGCGCATATTTTGGATGCGCAGTAGAACCGTGACACTGCCCCTTCACACGAGCTCCAAGTTGGCAAAATAGTAACTTTTAGCATAAATTAGCGCATTTTCTTCATTTTTGAACGTTAAAAACTCAAAATCGATAAGTCCATCCTAATTAATATTCTTTGTATAAAGTCCATCCTAATTAGTATTTTTATATAAAGTCCATCCTAATTAGTATTCTTTATATAAAGTCATCCTAATTATATTCTTCATCCTAATTAGTATTCTTTATATAAAGTCCATCCTAATTAGTATTCTTTATATAAAGTCCATCCTAATTAATATTCTTTATATAAAGTTCATCCTAATTAGTATTCTTTGTATAAAGTCCATCCTAATTAGTATTCTTTATATAAAGTCCATCCTAATTAGTATTCTTTATATAAAGTCCATCCTAATTATATTCTTTATATAAAGTCCATCCTAATTAGTATTCTTTATATAAAGTCCATCCTAATTAGTATTCTTCATATAAAGTCCATCCTAATTAGTATTCTTTATATAAAGTCCATCCTAATTAGTATTCTTTATATAAAGTCCATCCTAATTAGTATTCTTTATATAAAGTCCATCCTAATTAGTATTCTTTATATAAAGTCATACTAATGAGACGGCATCTATTGTGGATTTGTGGTCGTGTTTTAAGTCATTTAAGGCACTTGTAGTCGTGTTTTATCATATCTAAAATGCTCTTGCTGTGCACTTTAAATATATAAAATACTCTTACGCGTGCTGTAAACAATACATAAAAACTAGAACAAAATATAAATCATATAATATTTTAGAAAGATAACATACCAAAAGAGGTTTAAAATCACTTCAAATTTCGATAATGCGAACGAATTTATTATGCCAAATTCGAATATATTAAATCCCTGAAACTGGGAGTTTAATTTATGCAGGAACAAGCAATCGCGCCAACTGAAAGATCACATACCTCATATTAGAGGTGTGCATCGGATCGGATTGGACGTTTATAATCCGACAATTGCCTAATGTTTAAAATCCGATCCGATCCGAAATTGTCTAATCCGAATCCGATCCGAGTTTTGAAAAAGAATTCCAATCCGATCCGATCCGATCCGATGAATTCTTTAATAAAATAAATTTCTCATTCAAGTTGAAATATTTATCCAACACCCAAAAAAGCTAGAAAGAGCGTCTTAGAATGAGTAAAACTGCAAAGATGGTTGCTAAATGGTGTAAAAATGGTATTTTTCCCGCGCGTAATGCAAATATATACAAAATTTGCGAACTTCACAAGGCTATATTTTCCTCATTTTACAACATTTCTCAACCAAACTTTGCAATTTTACTCATTTTAAGATGCTCTTTCCAGCTGTGGTAATGGATTTCGTTCTTCTTGCCTAGATCAAAATTTCGCCTATAGCTCGAATCATCGACTAGACAGAACTGGTTGGTCAGTTGGTTGGTTGGTTAGTTAGTCAGCCAGGCGATTGGTCACTAGACTAAAAAATAACAACGTCAATTTTCGAATAGCACTTGCAGAACTAGTATTGTTGTATGCTGAATTAATATAAACGAGTATGTTTATGACATTCAGTATATATTTCATAATTTCCAGTCTTAAATCCGTCTGACCGTGTAGCTCAGTTGGTAGAGCGTCGATCTAGTAATTCGAAGGTCGCGGGTTCAAGACCCAGCCGCGGCAGACAACATCTTTCTGCTTGCGCTGGGTATGGAAATTATATAATACACACTCTAGAACATTTTCATTTTCTAACATTTTCTGCAGACATGCATGTTTCGGCGTTCAACGCCTCGTCAGTGCAGTTTGGTACACGTCTAGATACACGATACATTCGTATATATATATATATATATATATATATATATATATATATATATATATATA